TACCCAAACACACATCTAATCTTAGATAGTCTATCTCAAAGGCAAGCTAATAGAGAAATAGAAAAGGGAGGGAGAAGTGAGAAGCTTACCCAAGCTTGAACCTAGACTTTGCTAGAAGAAACTCTAAGAAGATGATGGAGAGGGAGAGAGACAAGAGAGAAAGATGATGGATGAGTGCTGCTGAAATTTCTAATGAGTGAATAGTGAAACAAGGGAAACTGCTTTCTTTTATAGTTAGAGTTTTGGGGGTAGTATTGTAAAATAAAATTGTAGGGTTCACCTTGCATCATGAACCATAGTCTAAAAAGATGATTTTTGAATAACTTGGGGTCAAAAATAGATTTTCTAAAAGATAGTTCTAATTAAAACACTTGGTTCAGGTTTCACAGATTCCTTTCCGGTTTCACTCAGATTAACTTTTGGATCGAAAACTTAGTACGCAATGTACCCGAAAATCTAGGATTTCAGATTTAAAATAAGTTCCGGTGTTGAATTTACTTAAAAGTGGCTCAAGATAATTTATTCAACACTGATTTCATCCCAAAAATTTTTACGGAGTGAAAAATGGCTATTTCGAAATTTTTAAAACCGAATTTATAAAATTAAATTTTGGGTTGTCACACTGGATATAGATAGAATTGTGCATAGAGAACTCGGGAGTCATATACTCCGCGATTGTTCTCATATGTCTCTCTCTTTATTGTCCTTCTCTATTCCGGCCTTCCGCATAACCTGGTACTTCTTCCTCAAGTCCTCCATTGTTGTTCACTTGTTCTCTCGGGGGAGAACCTTCAAAGATGTTTACTCCTGGCTGAGGTTGTTGCGGTGCCATTGTTGACCTTATCCTTTCGTCTCTTTCTTGGTTGTTAACAGCACTGGTGGATGCCATATTGCTTTGTATTTCTTGGTTTCCTTCGGCTCTTAGCCTTCTTCTTGAAGTTCTTTGAATTTTTGGGTTTAGCGGAATCAAACCTTCTCTTCCGTGAGATCTGGTGTGCATCAACTCCAAATTTGGTCTTGAAAGCAACGTAGCTAAAAGTAGCTACACTGTAGGGTAGAATGAAAGGAAAGAACAGAGAAAAAGAAAACTCAACTGAATTTCAAGGTTGTCCTTCCTCACGTACTCACAAGCTCAAGCTACCGTTTGCCATTCCCTAGCAACGGCGCCATTTTGACCAGACTCGGCTTATGGTTGTGGTTCTTGAAAGCGTGGTCAAAATATTGAAGTAGTATGGTTGTGATTGCAATGGATAGATGGTAAAATGGGGAGTTAGAACCACCCCGAGTGTCGTTCCCTCGACGAATGACAACTTGGAAGTTGGGCTATAGAGAAGGGTGAGGATATCAAAACACTTGAAGACTCGATTAAGAGAAGTTGTTTGGCGAAGTTGGTTTTGATGTTGTTGGTTGGCAAAGAACTTGAAACTAAGAAAGGTAGATCGGGAGATAAGGAATTTACTCAGAGAGAAAAAGGCGGCTAGGATTGGGTTTCGATTGTGTTGTGTGATTGGTCAATCCCGAAATGGGAGGCTTGTGGTTATTTGATTGTGTGCTACTAGTCAAGAGAAATGGATTGCTAATGCGTTAGTCGATTCGGTCTATACGCCGCCCGTAGGAATTCTTATTCTCTACAGGGCATTTAAGCAAACACTTTGAACTCACTCCTTTCCGGGTCTTGCCCTCTCGGATCGAAGACGGGGAAATGAAGAGGATCAAGGCTACCCGGATCTAGCAATCTCTTGCCTAGATCTAGGTTTCCAACACCATCCATGGAGTTGGGCCCCACTCCAAGAATGTTACAAAGAACATCCTCAACAACAAGACGTCCATAGTCAACAATCAATCAAATACCACAAGATTAACAAATCAAAGCATCATCACAACAACAATCCTACCCACTAGATTTAGCCAAGCATTATTAAGATCTCAACAATCAAATGGCAAAAAGAGATATAACAAGAAAACACAAAATAGATTTTACCCCAAATTGTTTAGATCCACCCAATACAAGTTGTTGATGAAGATCCACTAGCCAATTGCTTTGAATTTTCAATGCTCGTTTGCAAAATCTAGCAATACAAGGTGTTTGCTAATGTAGATCTAAATCTCTCTCTAGAAACATATTCTAACCCTACTAACCTCTCTCTAAAATTTGGTTGTAACTAATGAAAATCTCTCTAGGAAAAGTTGGGATCCCCCTCAAGAAAATGAAGTTTTGGCCCTAAATACTCAGCCTCCATTCGACCTCCCATTCACGCACGGCGTCACGCCGTGACGCCGACGTGAATGGGGAATTAATCTCTTCCCGCGTTTGAGTTTCTCGGCCGCTTTATGATCCCGTTCACACTCCTCTCACGCCGTGAGGAGGGGCGTGAATGGGAAATAATTTCCATCATGTCTCTCTTTTCGTGCGTAGCGTTGGCGTGTTCGGTCCTCGTTCACGCGTTCTTCTTGGCTTAGCTTCTTTTTACCTTTCTACCACGTTTTTCGTCCTAAAATGTCCAAAAACACGTAAAATATATTTAGGAAGGTATTTCCTTATACTTTCATGCTTTTAAGATAATTTGCTCTATAAATAAGACTTCTATGCTAAAATACATATGCAAAACCTTAGAAAAGCTCTTAGAAACGTAGCATATTTTGAGGCTTATTAAAGTCCAAGAGAAGCCAAGTTATAGAAGGAGAAAGAGAGCCAATAGTGAGATTCAAGGATCTTTAAAAAGTCTATCAAGTAAAAATTTAAGAATACTTTTTTGTTAAAATAAGTTCTTATTTATGAGGGAAACTAGGAAAGTATTATATTTTTGAGAAAAGTGTAATACTAATCATAATAAATTGATTGTTACATATAAAGGAAAGTGTAATACTTACGGCATCCCTAATAAGGGGATTGTGCACAAATTCTATGAAAAAGTTGGCAAGGTGGAGGAGAGGGGAGAGAGGGGAGAGTGCTTCCTGCAAAAATGAGGATTTTGTCATAAATGTGGGTCCCATCTCTTTTTTTAGATGACAAGTGTCTAAAAAGACTACTTTTTACTTTTTTAATTCCCTTTTTCTATTTTTTCTATTTTTATTTTTTATTTTTTATTTCTTCCCATTTTCTCTTTCTTAATCACACATACAAAAACTCCTCAAAAACCACACCAAAATCTCCACTATTGAGGATGCCCTTATGATAAAAATGTATTCCCTCCATCTCATTTTATGCGTCTGGTTCGATTAACGAGGCTTGACTGAAGTTATTTTTAATCTAATTTTTCATAATATTAAGTTTAGTATTAGTATAACAAATTTATATATTTAAAAACTACACTAAAAGTACTATTAAACACAAAAAATCAAATTTAAAAATATGTAAAAAATATTAATGAAAATAAACAAAGAAGAAAGAGTTGGTTTGACCAATGAATAATAAGTAAGAAAGATAAAATGGGACAGAGGAGTAATATTTTAGAATCAAAATATAATATTCAAGGTTGAAGAATTATTTATGAAGGAAAATTTAATACTTATGAGAACAAATTATTATATGGACCATGGGTCACACAGTGTTGTATGTACTAAAAAAATTTAAAAAAAAAAAAAAAAAAAAAAAAAAAAAAGTACCCCCTTCGTCCTTAATGAGTGTTTGGTGCATGAATGGCAATTTAATGCCAATTCGATTCAATGAAATAATAAACTATATTGTTTGGTTGAAGGAAATTGCAATTCCATAAAATTGCAATTCCCTCAATTCATTATTGAATTGCAATTCATAGGTTATTATAATTCATTCATACAAAGAAAATAGAAAAAGAAGGAAATGACATATTTGTCCTTGAATGTTATTATTAAAATTATTATACAAGAGTATTTTAGTCGATCTTTATATCACTTCTCTCATTTTCATTCCGAATAATTCTATTCCTTCCTACCAAACAATGTAATTTTAATTCCTACTTTACTCCCACATTATTCTTTTCCCACCGAATTACAATTTCTTTACCCCTTAATTCCTTCCTTCCAACCAAACGCCATGTAATTGTTTGTCACATTTGTTTTTTACGATTTTTAGTGCAACAAAACAAATATTAATTTTTTTAATTTTGCCCCTCAAAAGTATATGTCATTTGTACAACTGTACTTACCTCATTAATTGTTTAAAAATTTAAAAAAATCAAAATGGTAAATTGGATAATGTAGAATGATAATTATGTTCAATTTTGGAAAGAAGACACTACTTTGAGACACACTAAAAATGAAAGTAAGACAGATAAAATAGGAAGGGAGAATATATTTTAATATAATAAAAGTACATTGTTTGTGTAATGAATGTACATTATATAAAATAATATATTTTTACTGAATACGAGGTATATTTTTAATATACTAAAAATACATTATTTGTATACTAAATATATATTATTTGATAATATACAAAATAATGTATTTTCCGTACTCAAATAATATACTTTATGTACATAAATAATGTACTTTTTATTTGTGGTTCACATAATAATAATTGACTTATGAGTAAATCGACTTATTTCTTGAACAAGGATCTGTGACATAGTCTATAAATTTTGTCTTAAAATGAATATTTTCTACTGATTTTATTTATAGATAAATAACTTTTGAAAGTTATTTTTTGAGTTTTCAACTCACCCAAGATTCAAAGTTTTATTTTAAAGAAAAAAAGAAAAAAATAAGAAAAGAAGAAAAGAACAAAGGGTCATAGACTTATAATTAGATTTAGATTTCTACTCCCAAAACTTACTCTTTAATTTAGATCCCAATACAAATATTTTTTTTTTTTTATTACAAAGGAAGAGGGATACCCATACAACCTATGCTTACACTGAGGCTTGAAACCTAGACCTCCCACATAAGGGAGCAATCCGATACCAGTGGACCACAAGCCACCAATACAAATATTTACATCAAAATTTTATAAACCAAAGTATAAGTTGGAAGTACGGAGTACACATAGTATTTTCTTTAGATTTATAAAATTCTATATCCAACTCAGCAATGCCGGTAAACGGTCGTCTTTTTTTATCAGGCAAAGGTGAAATCACCTACAATTAGATCCCTTCCCGGACGCCATTCTCTCTCTCAATCCGATCGTCATCAAAGGCGGTTGTGAAGCTATCTGATCAATCCATTCTCCTCATACTTTCAGCTCTAATTCCAATCCGACTTTCATCACAGGTATGTTTCTCAATCATTTCCAGATCTGTAATTCTCTTACGCCATACTTTTGGATACTCAGATTCGTACATTTTGTATATATTTAGATCTTCATTTGCAAAATTGAGTCCTAGAATGATTTTTTTGTTTCCGTTTAGATAGAGAGATTAAGAAATGAATTCCAATTACGGGAAATCGAATATGAAGTCGGGTTCTATGAACGATTTCGATTTCGGGCTGAACACTGGCTGTTCCCGATCTCTCAATGACCAAAAGAACCAAACGTCGTCGTATTCATCTTCTGCGCAATCAAAGCCGTATGGGACGGCATCTTGGACCAACCAATCCAACACTAACAAGGCATCGTGGACTCACCAACCTGTTGGATCTCTGTCCGGGCCGACGTCCATGGTTGGGGATATATTTGGGAAGAGTTGGGGCTCTGCGGCGCCCTCGAACACTGGTAGTGCTTCAACTGTAGGTATTGTGACGAAAAAAGACCCTAATTTGTTTGGTGATTTGGTGAACTCAGCACTTCGGCAAAATAAGGGTGGTAGCAATGTGCCACTGAAAAATTCCACCCCGGTGACAAATAAGAGTTCATTTTCAATGGGGGGTGTGGCCGATTCCTTGCCGAAAACAGGTAGTTCTGTCAAAAGCAGCGGAACTTGGGGGGGATCTAACCAGAGTTTCGGAAACTTTACCAGTGGGGGATATAATACTAATGTTAGTAGTGGCAATGTGAATATGAGTGCTCCAAATAATAGAAGTTCTGGTCTTGGAGGGACACCAATGAGTAGTATGGCTGGGGGTGTAGGTGGAATGGGTTCAAAGAAGGATCCATTTAGTACCTTGGTTGATTTTGGGTCTAAACCAGCTGCTAACATGAATTCAGGGAGCAAAGGACGTAGCAGTGCTACTAGTCATGTTGACGATGCATTTGGAGATTTTCAAAATGCATCAAAATCCGGGTCAACATTTTCGTCAAATGCTTTCCCCACTAGTAACAATGCCTCAGCTACATCAAGAGCAAACACATCTCATCCAAAGGTGGATGATGTATTTGGAGATTTTCAAAATGCCTCGAAATCCAGATCATCGTTTTCTTCAAATGTTTCCCCCACTAGTAACAATGCTTCAGCTCCATCAAACACAAACACATCTCATCCAAAGGTGGATGATTTTGGATTTTCTAATAATCAGCCACATGCTCAGTCCTCTGGTGGTGCTGGAGATTTTGATTCGCTTTTCCAGTCATCTACCACCTCATTTGGTGGATCTGCTGTGGAAAGTCAGCAATTTTCAGGGGGCGATGATTGGGGATTTGAGTCTGAGTTTGGAGGGGGACATGATAATGGCGGGACAACTGAGCTTGAAGGGCTTCCACCACCACCTGCTGGCCTCAGTGCTTCAACTGCAAAGAACAAGGGGATGGATAATTACAAGCAGGGACAATATGCTGATGCTATAAAATGGCTATCATGGGCCGTTGTTCTTCTTGAGAAAGCCAGTGACGTAACTGGTACAGCAGAGGTGTTGTCATCTAGGGCTTCATGTTATAAAGAAGTAGGAGAGTACAAGAAGGCTGTGGCTGACTGCACAAAGGTATGCCCTTTTCTAACTTTTCAGTTTTTCATGATATCATGCTATTTATTTTATAATTTTGTATTTTAAATCAATACTTGGGCTTCCAACTACTGCATAAAATATTAGGTTGATAAAAATCCAAAGATGTGACCTCTTGACTCAACCTTCCAAATTATGAGGGATGATAAGTTGAGATTTTCTAGAATTGTAAAAGTTAATGGACACATGACAATTAACATAAACTAACATCATTGGAAATTTTTTACTGAAATCCTTTCTTATTCACATTAGTTATGTGAGTATCTATTTGTATGAATTAATTTCACTTTTGGTCTCACGACTTTTGAGGTCTTATCACTGCACAACTTTAAATTTTTTCAATTTTGATGCCTAACTTTGTTATTTTTATCAGTTTTGGTCCTTCCGGTCAAATTGAAGGTGAAATGTTGCTGGATTATATATTTTAGGGGCAAAATTATTCCCAAGGAAAGATTTTCAATATTTAAATAAAAGAAAAATAATATCAAGAGAAAAAGAACGGTTTGCCAATCGTCGATGGCTCGACGCTATAAATCTCATAGATCTGTGCCTAGTTTCTGCCCGTTTCCCCATTATTCTCATCGATCAAACACCTATAGATATGATTTTACAGTGATTTTGTTTAGATATTGAAGATGTTTCATTGGGATGAAGATTTTACCCCTAAAAATATATAATCCGGCAACATTTCACTGTCAATTTGGCCGAAAGGACCAAAACTAATGAAAATAACAAAGTTAGGCACCAAAATTGAAAATTTTAAAGTTGTGGACCAAAAGTGACAGAACCTCAAAAGTCATGGGTCCAAAAGTGAAATTATCTGCCTTGAAGAAAAAATATCATAAGTTCCCTGTGGTGATTTTGAAAACTCTTTTTATGTTTCTTTGACTTAGAGTTGAATGGATATTTCCTACATGAAATGCTGCAAATTTTGGTTTCTGACTGTGGCATAATAGCCTTCTCCTGATCAATCTTTTGCCTTCTTTGTAGTTGCTCAATGCTTAATAGCCTTTGTTTATTCTGGTGTGCAGGTGCTAGATCGTGATGAAACAAATGTATCTGTCCTTGTACAGCGAGCTATGTTGTACGAAAATATGGAGAAGTACAAGCTTGGAGCTGAAGACTTGAGAACGGTTATGAAACTTGACCCTACTAACAGGGTCGCGAGAAGTACCATTCATCGCTTGAATAAGATGGCTGGCTAGAGAAGTTGCACAGAATTATTTCTCCACAGGTCTCATTTACAGATATGGCTGATGATATTGTTTTCTTTTTGCATAAGATTGTCTGATGGATCATAGCACTTTACAGGGATGCGCCTTAAATCTTTCTTGATTCGTTTACTGTCTGCTTTTCACATGTTGATGTTGTATTGTCTATTGAATGTTTCTCTTCACTGGAAACTGTGTTATCTTTGGTGTTATAAAGTGATTTAAGATCTCCCACTCATGCATGGTTACGGACCAAGAAATGTTACTCTCAATATTAACATGTTTAGACATAATTTACAGGAACAAACATTTTTATCAAATTCCATTTGTACAAAGTCTACCATTCAGATTATCCACCATCTTGGAACTTAGCCTAGTCTCACAGGCCTAGAGTTTGGCGCAGCGACAGACTCCCGTGCGGCGTCTGGGGCCCTTCTTACCCCGCGGACTAGTTTTACTCAGTAACTCTTTATACGTGTCAAACTGGTTTTGTCTTGCCATGGGCTCATCTTGTGCTCTTCAAATCGCCTTGGTCCCTTTCATAGTCAAGTCCAAGATAGCGATAAGTTCCTCAAACTTAATCGGGTCAATATGCCGGATTCAATAAGACCCGTAGCGTCTATGGCAGAATAACCCTTGATGATATTATCGCTCCCTATCCATTTTATGGCCATTCATTCATTGGGTCTAATGATCATACAAACAATGCGTGAGACTAGTCTTAGTTGGGATTTTTACGCTCCAGACTAGGGAGTATAAGTCTATGTAGCATAAACTTCTGACCTCCCTCCTTTGTTTTTATTTTCGTTCTCTCTTTTTAAGTGTTTATTTAAAGTTAGAAAATAATTTTCTTTTTCTATTTGACTGAAAGTCAAAATTATATTTTTTCTGTTAGGTTGATTTTAAATACATGAACATAAATCTATTATAAAGTTATTTCTTATAAAATATTATTTATTTTAATAATAACAATAATTATTATTTATATTAAAAAAATTATAAATTAAAATTTATAATTATTATAAAGATTAATAATAATTATAATAAAAATTGTAATTAAATAATGTTTGCCTTGTGACTTATTATAATAAAACTAAATACATAAATTGATAAATATAATAATTCTAAACTATAGAAATTGAATAAAAATTTGCTTTTTTGGGCATTTGTTATACAGTGAACCATGGTCCATACATCGTTGTTGTGTGGACCATGATCGTCGAATGAAACTGTAGTAGAATTAAAATGATACTTTAGTGTTATTATAATAAAACTAGTGTGTGTGAAAAATGAAACTAAAAAACAGAGCACATTATTGTCAAATGAAACTATAGTATAATTAAAATGATACTTTAGTGTTGCTATAATAAAACTAGTGTGCATGAAAAATAAAACTAAAATCCAGAGTATACAATAACATATATTGTCAAATGACCTGAAGTGCAATTGAAATAATATTTCAAATTACTGTAATTAAACTAGTGTGTGAAAAATGAAACAAAAAGATAGAGCTCAAGCAATAATGTATATTATCAAATGAAACTATAATAGAATTAAAATGATACTTTAGTATTACTATAATGAAACTAGTGTGGAGAGAAAATGAAACTAAAAACATAGCAATATTGTCATGGTCTACACTGCTACATAGAGCATGGTTCACAGTAAAATTTGCCTTTTATGGGGATGTGGGCCAAACTTGATTAAGATTTTCATTTTTTTAATCAAGCCCGAGGTAACTCATATTTAATTAGACATTGATAAATATAGGAATAAGGTCCAAATTGGCCCCTGAATGAAACGTGAAAGTGCAATTTGGTCCCTGAACGTAAAAAAAAAAAAATGTTAGACAAAATTTTATCACTATATGTTCATTATTGTAATTTAATAATGTTAGAGCTCTGTGTTCATAATTTCATAATTGCATAACTGTACATTCATAACGATATAATTGTACATTCATAACGGCATAACTGTACATTCATAATCCAAAAAAAATAACGCCGTTAACACCGTTAACGGCAAAATACGCGCGAATTTTTTTTTTTTTTTTAACTAAATGACGCGTTTTTTTTTTTTTTTTTGAAAAACGACGTCATATTGTGGCATAATTTGCCTATGAACCCAGACACGGCCTTGAAGAGGGTCTCATTGGGCATCTTCCCGGGTCTAATGTCAGAAGGGCCCTAGCCCGTAGCGTGGGTTTTATTTTTATTTTTTAATGAAGTTAATTTAGTGTTTTTTTTTTTTTTTACATAAGTAAAAATTTGAACTTATGACCTTAAAATTGTTATTTCTTTTTGGATAAGAGAAAATGCAACGCCCGGTGTCTTATATCTGGCACCCTTCCAGAACGATCCTATGATGAGGCAAGCCAACAGAGGCCTCCATCAACACATTACACATATGAAACAGAGGGAGGGGGATCCTCCAATCAACCCATGTAGTATTTGTGCGGCAAACATCCTTTTCAAAAATGTCGGTCACCATGTTTTGCTCTCTAAAAACGTACGTGTTGAAACAAAAGGTCATCGTATGAGGCGCTGATGTTCCCTAGCTCCCATCAGGTCACGCCAGACAAGGAAGGCTTGAGGGCAGTCCCGGATCATGTGGTTAACATCCTCACAAGCATGCTGCACCAGGGCACTTACTGTCCGCCGTAACATTGTTTCCAATCAATAGTTACAATCCCTTTAAAAAATATAATTTCATTAATGCATACATATGGAGAACATTAA